TCTTTCTAGGTTTGTATCATTACAAACAGTACTGTTATGAACATTCCTAAACATGTTTCCTGGCACACACATGTAGGAGTAAGGGGTATAGGGCAGGGGTGATAAACTTCTGCAAAGGGCAAGACAGTAAATATTTTAGGTTTTAGAAGACAGAAGATCTGCAGTGTAAGCATTCAACTCTGGTACTATACCACAAAAGCAGCCATAAATGACACATAGTCAAGTAAGTGTGACAGTATTCCAACAGAACTTTATTTATGGACACTGAAATCAGAATTTCATGTAATTTCCACATTACAAATTAATTTTTTTTTATTTAACAATTTAAAAATGTTAAAAACCTTTTTTAACTCATGAGTTTTCACACCAACCCCTGATCTAGAGTACACACGTAAGGGTATTAGGTCACAGGGTATGCATATTTTCAATATGACTAAATATGACCAATTTGTTTTCCCAGGTGGTTGAAGCAAAATAGTAAGCAAAATGAGAGCTCTGGATGTGTTATATCCCTGGCGACACTTATTGATGTCAGACTTTATTTTTTGACAATCTGGTGAGTGTGTAGTTGGTATCTTAACGTAGTTTTAATCTGCATTTCCCCACTGTCTCTGACATTACTGGTCATTCCATTTCCTCTTCTCTAATGTGCCTATGAAGTTTAGCCCACTATTCTATTCAGTGGGTTGTTCTGTCTTTTTCCAATTAGTTTGTAAAGATCTTTGTGCAGTCTGGACTCTAATCTTGTGTTGGCTACATGAACTCCAACAATTTTTTCCCAGTTAATAGCTTGTCTTCTTAATAAGAGGTATCTTTTGTGGTTTACATTTTCTGTGTCTTAAGAAATTCCCTAGGGGTGCTTGGGTGGCTCAGTCGTTAAGCGTCTGCCTTCGGCTCAGGTCATGATCTCAGGGTCCTGGGATCGAGCCCTGCATCGGGCTCCCTGCTCAGTGGGAAGCCTGCTTCTCCCTCTCCCACTCCCCCTGCTTGTGTTCCCTCTCTCGCTCTCTGTCAAATAAATAAATAAAAATCTTTAAAAAAAAAAAAAAGAAAAATTCTTCTCTATCTAGAGATCGTTAAAAATAATGTTCTAATGTCTAAAAGTTCTTAAGTTTTACCTTTCAGGTTTAAGTAGAGATTCAATGTCACTTTCTTCCACGTGGATTACCAATTATCCTGCCACAATGTGTGGAAAGTTCATCCTCTTACTAAAGATGTGCATGCAATGCAAACTTTGTCAAAACCAGGTCTCCAGCATTCTATGTTCTGTTCCACTGGTCCATCTACCCTTAACACCACATTGCTGTCTCACTTATAGCTTTATAATAATTCTTGATATACACTAAAGAAGTCTTCTCACCTTGCACTACTTCTTGAGGAAGGTCTTGGCTACTTTTGACCAACTGATCTTCCTTAGGTATAACAACCATAATTACTAAAAATGATATTCCACCTATTGAAAAAAGAAATCTAGTAGTTAAAAGTTTACATGTCTATGGTGGAACAATTCTATTGTTAGGATTAAATTAAATTAAAAAATGACACAAGTCATAGAAAAGAAGTTGGTGATGAGGAGTTCAAGTCAAGAGCCATTTAAAAGAAAAATTCCAGGAGCACCTGGGTGGCTCAGTCGGTTAAACGTCTGTCCCTTGGTTTCAGCTCAGGTCATGACCTCAGTATCGTGAGACTGAGCCTGGCGTAGGGCTCTGCGTTCACCAGGGAATCTGCCTGTCCCTTTCTCTCCCCTGACTTGCGTGCATTCTCTCTCTCTCCCTCCCTAAAATATATTTTTTAAAATGCTTAAAAAAATAAAGGAAAAATTCTGAAAATGTCTTACAAAATGACATCATTATTAAAATTAATGTATAGCACCTAACTTTTATGTCTACTATACTGTTGTTCTTTAAAAAAAAAAAAAAAAAAGATTCAGTATTTTAGAGTCACAGTTCATTCCATGCTATCTGGATAAATTTACTGAGTCTTGACCAACTACATTCCTGATACCAGGTCAGGTACCATAGATAGTACAAGCCTGAAGGCAATGATCCACACCATGGAAGCCCTTATCACACAGTTAAACACCAATCTAAGAGACGCACCGGTCACATTACAAAAAGAAACATTAACCCAAGAAACCTGGCGGGAAAAAGGCATACAGATAGGGAAGTTCTAAATAGTTTTTATCAGAAGGCAGTATAAGATACTGAACTTTTCTGTAACAAGGTTTTCTTTTTTTCTTTTTTTTAAGATTTTATTTATTTGACAGAGAGAGAGCACAAGCAGAGGGAGTGGCAGGCAGAGGGAGAAGCAGACTCCCCATGGAGCAGGGAGCCCGACGCGGGGCTCCATGCAGGGCTCCATTCGAGGACCCTGGGATCATGACCTGAGCTGAAGGCAGTCGCTTAACCAACTGAGCCATCCAGGCGCCCCTGTCCTTCTATTTTGTTCTAAAGAGCCCTGTAACTGCAGGACCCATACCTGTGGGTTCTTACTAAAAAGAAACTCCATGGTCAAGTAAATTAGGGAAATGTTATAGACTCTATATGCCCTGGGAGATTCATACTGCATATTACTGCCCTAAAGGTTCTGTGAAGTTCTGCAATAAAGAAACATATCTAACTTCATTAACTCAGAACTTCTCATTTTCAAGCATGGAACTTTCCTCATCTACTTTGTCTTTTTTGCACAACACAATACAGGTTTCAAATAGCAATAGATAAAGTAATAAAGATTGGTTTCAAATCCTGGAATCAGCCAATTTTTAAACAACAGGTTATTCTTTTTCTGCAAAACTGGTATTTCTGTGCATCTGCAAATTACATAAAAAAGAAATCCTATCGTGTTCACAAGGAAGATCATAAAGTGGAGGTCAATTTTGTAGTATCTTAATTTAACTGTTTATAGTTCATATTTCTGCACTATTCTTTAACATAACATATATAACACACAGTTGTGGACAAAAATGGTAAATTCAGAAATCACCATTATACAAATTTTTAAAAGAAAATAATCTAAAAGAAGTGAAAAGAATTCTAAAAGAAGTGAAATTTAGCAACTATATTTGCTATTTTTTTCTAAGTTTAAAATATCATATTCTAAAAAATGTAACAGCATTAAATGTTACATTCAACAACACAACAGGATGCTGTAAGGAAAGAGTTAACACAGCAGGTCTGTTTTACTCAGGCCTTGCTAATCTGTGGGGGATGCCTGGAGCCATGGTAATGACCCCTGGCCAAACTCTGAGAACTAAACTCCTGGAATGTTCACAGACACTGAGTAAGGATTTTAGAGGCAGTGGGTCAGGATGTATCAGGCTGTCAGCACTGTTTAAAGTAAGCATCAAGATTTATGATGTGCACCTGTATCTGGTCGGGTCCTAAGTCTTAGTCACCAGGGCTGGCCACAGAAAATCATGTCCGTGTGATCCGCACATTGGAAAAGACATGGAACGTTTGTGTCTTATCTTCCTAGCATTCACCTGTATGTTAGCTCTTCCCTGTTGTTCCTGTACTGCACCCTTTGCTGTAATAAACCTTGGCCATTAGTACAACATTATGTTAAGTTGGGCGAGTCCAGCAAATCAAAACTCATGGGCAGTCATGGGACCCCCTCCCCCCCAAAACAAACAATATTAAAGCATTTGGTTTGCCATAACAGCTACTTCTAAATGCTAAATGATCATAATCACAATCTGCTTAAATGAATAAACCAATGTACAGGATAAAAGTTAACACAGCAGGCATAAGATTACTATCCCTAGAAAGGCCTGGTTGCAAGGTGGGCCCTTGACTGGCATCTGGTAATTTAAATGATAATTCCCTACAATGATACAAAACTTATCTTAAAGGATAAGTGTGCCTAACTGTGCCTAATCTATTTGTACAAACAATATGGTTTGTGCAAAACACCGGATTTCTTTCTGGGAGACTGAATTTTGGTACATGCTAGGCAGAGGGTGCCATCATGATCAGCCCCAATAAAAACACTGGCACTGAATCTAAAGAGCGTCTCCAGCTGGTAACACTTCACATGTTGTTATCACAATTCATTGCTAGAGGACATCGTGTGTGACTCCACTGGGAGAGGTTCTTGGAAGCTTGTGCCTGGTTTCTTCCAGACTTCACCCCATGCACTTTTCCCTTTGCCAACTGCTTTGTATCCTTTCACTGTAAGAAGTCTTAGCTGTTATTATGACCATATGCTGAATCCTGTGAGTCCTCCTAGCCAATCATGAAACCTGGGGTGGCCGTGGGAACCCCCAACACAATCAGTATATTAAAAGAGAAGTGCTGAATAGGCCAAATGCTGAAATTGAAATCTGGGTTCAAATTTCAATTCCAACACTTGCTAGGCAACCCTAGCAATGTTACTCTTTATTTGCACAAACCTGGGGCTCTTCATTCCTTTGAGGAAAACATGTCCACCGTACAGTCCCTTTCACTAAATTAAACGAGGTAATGCACATCACTTATATGTCACAGCACACAGTAAATATTAAGTAGTATTTCTAGAGGTACTTTCTTAGACAAAACAAAAAAATCAGGAACTTTTATATTTGTACTGATGCAATGATTATTCAAATGGCCATGCAGGGTACTGCAAAAAGAAGCTCAGAGGTAAACTTTAACTCTGAAATCTTCAACACTGATTCTATGAGTGATTTCCAGCCCACATGACAGGATTATTGGGTGAGCTCAAGCAGGTTAAACCCCATATAATAAGAACTTTTTTATTCCTAAACTTGATATTCATCTAGTCTTCAAATTGACCACCTTAAGGAAATATGAATGCACTAATTAATTAGTACTGGGACTATGCTTGATGGTTACATTTCTCAAATAACTGAATTTGCATTTTAGTATAAGCCATTCACTTATGTATATATGAGGCATAAAGTCCAATCAACATACGTGTGAAACCTCCATAGCTGTAAGAGCAAGCCCCAGGGAAAAGAGAAGTGCAAACCTGAAGTCATTCACTCCCAGCTATCAACTTACCCCAAAGTGGTTTTTCAAATGAATTCATATCCCAAATCCACATGTCCCACATTTCCTGTTGAAAAATAAATTTCCTAAAATCAGATTATTACAGAATAACTCTATCCTCCCCCCTTATTACTTCAGCCACCCTATTCCACTGGACTTTAAGTCAGCCATACCAGAGGGCAAAACCGGTATCTTATTTAGCTCCAATGTTGAGCACAGGCACATAATAGGTACCTCCCCAAACCTTGCACATAATAGGTGTTCAGTTAATGTCTAGTACATGAATAAAATCTTACTGAGCTCCAACATCAAGCTCAGTGGAAATACTATAAAAGTATCATTCCTCCTCTTAGAAATCTATCAGAATATTAACTTTCCAGATGGGAAGGCCGAAGACACAGAGATAGCACCTGCAGCAGGTACTATTCTTTTTTTTTTTTTTTTAAGATTTTAGTTATTTATTTGAGAGAGAGCGAGAGAGAGCACGAGTGGGGAGAAGGAATGGGAAGCAGTCTACCTGCTAACCGACTGAGCCACCCAGGTGCCCCGGTACTGCTTATTTCTTATCCCCTCCCCAAACACGCCCCGTTTTACTCCATTAGAACCCCAGCTGAATTCAACTGATCATTCTCTGCTAGACTACCTATTCTTTATTCATTCAAGCTAGCCATGGCTGTTCTATTCCTCTTCCTGGTACAAGTGACCAAATCTCAACCAGCAGGACCCGAGGGGAAAACTATTGGGTGCATTTAAGAAAAGTTATGTTCTCGGGCGCCTGGGTGGCTCAGTTGGTTAAGCGACTGCCTTCGGCTCAGGTCATGATCCTGGAGTCCCGGGATCGAGTCCCACATCGGGCTTCCTGCTCAGCAGGGAGTCTGCTTCTCCCTCTGACCCTCTTCCCTCTCGTGCTTTCTCTCTCTCATTCTCTCTCTCTCTCTCAAATAAATAAATAAAATCTTTAAAAAAAAAAAAAGAAAGAAAAGTTATGTTCTCTCAGAGGTGAAGGAGAAATTATACTTATAATGGGGGAGCTTTTTATGTCTGGGGGCAGAAGCCATATGGGAAATATCTACACCTTCCTCTCAAATTTTACTGTAAATCTAAAACTGCTCTAAAAAGTCTTTTAAAAAAAATTGAAGCATGGAAGACCTACACACAGAACGGTGAAACAGCTTATACTGGAGTAACCCTCCCACAAACAATAATTATAAACTCTGGCCAAAATGTAAAAACCACTACTGAAAAGTACTGGATAAGTTAGATAGGTGATGGTGATTACGGAGGGCCCTTGTGATGAGCACCAGGTGTTGTATGGAAGTGCTGAATCACTATACTGTACACCTGAAACTAATATGTGTCAAGTAACTGGAATTCAAATAAAAACTTTAAAAAAAGAAATTAAAAAAAAATTAGAGAATCACTAGATAGCAACCAAAACACAGAAAAGAGAAGGCAACCCTTGAAACAGGGGAACTATACTAGCCGAGATTTGCTTTTTAATGGCTGCTTGCCTGAGGGCAGAGAACACCCTGCATTGTGTAAAGCAGGTGAAACTCAAGAAGTCACACTCTCATTGGCTTGTGGTATCAAAAGATGAAGGTCGGGGCTAGTAGTGCAACTAGAAAGTAAGGAAGAAAATCCTACATATATTTATATATGTAAACTCCACCACAATCCTTAGCTGAGCCCTGAACACACAACACAGGAGACTCCAGAGGCCCCAAAGAAAAGCAACAGCTAAAATGGCTGAAAGAACTGAGCAAGAGATCAGGTGTTGCCCAGTGCAGCAGAAACAGAGTTTGGAATTTAGGTCCAGCCAGTTAACTGCCTGCTAGAACAACAAAGAATCAACACTCTTTCAGAGAAAACAAAATTATGAGGCACAAAAACATACTTACAACATTCAGTATACAATAAAAAATTACTAGACATGAAAATAAACAAGAAAATGTGACTATGGTAAAAAAAAAAAAAGCAGTCAGTATACTCTGGACACAAAATTATCCAGATGTTGGCATTAGTTGACAAGGGCTATAAAGCAGCTACTATCAATGTGTTCAAGAACTTAATAAAGGAAGAAATTTTATACTTAGTATAAAAAGGAACAATACAGGACCATGCAGAACACAAAATACAAAGTCTGAAATGTAGAATTCACTTGACAGGTTCAACAGCACATTACAGGGCAAGAAAATATAGGCATATCTTGAAGATACTGTGGGTTCAGTTCCAGACCACCATAATAAAGTAAATATTGTAATAAAGTGACTAACATTAATTTTTTGTTTCACAGTACATATAAAAGTTGTTTACATTATAGTTTAAGATGTGATAGCAGTGTGTCTAAAAAAACTAAAGTACATATCTTAAAAAATACTTCATTGCTAAAAAAATGCTAACCATTATCTGAGCTTTCAGAGTCATAATCATTTTGCTGTGAAGGGTCTTGCCTCTACGCTGACGGCTACTGACTGATCAGGGTGGTGGATGCTGAAGGTTGGGGGGGGCTGTGGCAAGTTTTTTTTTTTTTTTAAGATTTTTTATTTATTTATTTGACAGAGAGAGAGAGTTAGCGAGAGCAGGAACACATGTGGGGGAATGGGAGAGGGAGAAGCAGGCTTCCCGCCAAGCAGGGAGCCAGATGTGGGGTTTGATCCCAGGACCGTGGGATCATGACCTGAGCCGAAGGCAGACGCTTAAGGACTGAGCTACCCAGGCACCCCGGCAATTTCTTAAAATAAGACAACAATGAAATTTGCTACATCAACTGACTCCTTTCATGAACAACTTCTCTGTAGCATGCTAGGCTGTTTGACAGCATTTTACCGAAAGCAGAACTTCTTTCAAAATTAGAGTCAGTTGGGGCACGCCTGGGAGGCTCAGTCGGTTAGGGGTCTGCCTTTGGCTCGGGTCATGATCTTGGGGTCCTGGGATCGAGCCCCGCGTCAGGCTCCCTGCTCAGCAGGGAGTCTGCTTCTCCCTCTCCCTCTGCCCCTCTACCCCCTTCCCTACTTATGCTCTCTGCTCTCTCTCAAATAAATAAAATCTTGAAGAAAAAAACAAAATTAGAGTCAATTTTCTCAAACTCTACTGCTGCTTGATCAACTAAATTTACATGATATTGTAAATCTTCTGTTGTCATTTCAACAATTTTCACAGTATTTTCACCAGGAGTAGATGCCATCTCAAGAAACCACTTTTCTTCGCTCATCACAAGAAACAACTCCTCATCTGTGCAAATTTTATCATGAGACTGTGCAGCAATTAGGCACATCTTCAGGCTCTACTAATTCTAGTTCTCTTGCTATTTCCACCACATCTGCAGTTACTTCCTCCACTGATGTCTTGAACCCCGCAAAGTCATCCATGAGGGCTAGAATCAACTTCCAGAGTCCTGTTAATGTTGATATTTCAACCTCTTCCCATGAATCACGTATGTTCTTCCTAGCATCTAGAATCCTTTCCAGAAGGTATTCAACTGACTTTGCCCAGATCCATGAGAGGAATCATTATCTATAGCAGCTATAGCCTTACAAAACGTATTTCTTCAATAACAAGACTTAAAAGTTCAAAATACTCCTTGACCCATGAGCTGAAGAATGGATACTGTTAGCAGACATGGAAACAAGGTTAATCTCATTGTGGTATCTCCATCAGAGCTCTGGGGTGACCAGATCCATTGTCAATGAGCAGTAATATAGTCAAAGGAATTTTTATTTTTTCCTGAGCTGTAGGTCTCAACAATGGGCTTAAAATATTCAGTAAACCATGTTGTAAACAGATGTGCTGTCAATTCAAGCTTTGTTGTTCCATTTCTAGAGAAAAGGCACAGCATTTAGTGTAACTCCTGAGACCTCGGATTTTCAGAATGGTCAATGAGCGTTGGTTTCAACCTAAAGTCACCAGCTGCATTAGCCCCTAACAAGAGAGTCAGCTTGTCCTCTGAAGCTCTGGAACCAGGCACTGACTTCTCCTGTCTAGCTATGAAAGTCCTAGATGGCATTTTCATCCAATAGAAGGCTATTTTGTCTATACTGAAAATCTGTTATTTAGTGTAGCCACCTTCATTATTTACCTTGGCTGGATCCTCTGGCTAGGTTGTTGCAGCTTCTACATGAGCACTTGCTGCTTCACCTTGCACTTTTATGTTACAGAGATGGCTTCCTTCCTCAAACTTCATGAACCACCTTCTGCTAGCTTCAGACTTCAGACTTTTCTTCTGCAGCTTCCTCACCTCTCTCAACCTTCCTGGAACTGAAGAGAGTTAGGGCTTGCTCTGGATTAGGCTTTGACTTAAGGGAATGTTGTGGCTGGTTTGATCTTCTATTCGTACCACTAAAACTTCCTGCATTATCAGTAATAAGGCTGTTTGACTTTCCTATCATTCTTCACTGGAGTAGCATTTTTAATTTCCTTCAAGCACTTTTCTTTTACATTCACAACTTGGCTGGCAGATTACACCTAGCTTTCAGCCTATCTCAGTTTCAACATGCCTTCCTCACTCAGCTTAAATCATTTCTAGCTTTTGATTTAAAGAGACATGCAACTCCTCCTTTTACTTGAACACTGAGAGGCCACTGTAGGGTTAGAATTGGCCTAATTTCAATATTTTTGTGTCTCGGTGATTAGGGACGCCCGAGGAGAGGGGGAGGAGAAGGGGAACGAACGGTCGGTAGGTGAAGCAGTCAGAACACACATAACATTTACCAATTAAGTTCACCATCTTATATGAGCACAGTTTGTGGCACCCCAAAACAACTGCAATAGTAACATCAAAGCTCACTGATCAAAGGTCACCATAACAAACGTAATAATGAAAAAGTTTGAAATATCGCAAGAATTACCAAAATATGACACAGGGACACAAAGTGAGTAAACACTATTGGAAAATGATGTCAACAGACTTGCTCAACACAGAGCTGCCACAAACCTTCAATTTGTAAAAAAAACACGGTACCTGCAAAATGCAATAAAATGAGGTATGCCTGTAAAGGGTCAATTTAAAGATACATCAAAGCAAGTATCCAATCTGAAGATCTGAAAGAAAAAATTTTTAATGAACAGAAAGCCTCAGTGAGTTATGGTACAGTATCATAAGTTTAACATATGCGAAATCAAAGTCCCAAAAGGAGAAAATTATACAAAAATTATATTATTATACAGAAAAGTATATGCAAAAATAACAGCCGAGGGGCGCCTGGGTGGCTCAGTTGGTTAAGCCACTGCCTTCGGCTCAGGTCATGATCCTGGAGTCCCGGGATCGAGTCCCACATCAGCCTCCCTGCTCAGCAGGGAGTCTGCTTCTCCCTCTGACCCTCCCCCCTCTCATGTGCTCTCTCTCTCTCAAATAAATAAAATCTTAAAAAAAATAAATAAATAACAGCCGAAAACGTCCACGATTTGGAGAAAACATAAAATCGTAAATCTAAGCCCACTGAATCCTAAGCAAGATAAATACAAAGAAAATCCCAACTAGAGCACATCATATACAAAGTGCTAAACACTAAAGATACAGAGAATAACCTGAAAGCAGCCAAAGGAAAAAAGACATACTATATACAGAGAAAAAGAAGTGGTTGACTTCTCATGACATGAAACAATTTTCAGGTCAAGAGAAGCCAAAACCACTCATCTCTTTGCAGACCTGCACTACAAGCCATGCTAAAGGAAGTTCTCTAGGCAGAGGGAAATGACACCAGATCTATAAGGAGAAATGAAGAACAGAAGCAATGGTAAATGTAGGAGTAAACATAAAAGCCTGATTTTTCTTTTTTTTTTTTTAATTTTATTTAGGGATACCTGAGTGGCTCAGTCGGTTAAGCAGCTGCCTTCGGCTCAGGTCATGATCTTGGAGTCCTGGGATCGAGTCCCACATCAGGCTCCCCGCTTGGCGGGAAGCCTGCTTCTCCCTCTGCCTGCCCCTCCCCCTGCTTGTGTGTTCACTCTCTCTCTGACAAATAAACAAATAAAATCTTTAAAAAAAAATAAAGATTTCATTTATTTGACAGAGAGAGTACACAAGGTACAGAGCACAACGCTTAACCACTTAACCGACTGAGCCACCCAGGCACTCTTCCCTCTTGCTTTCTTAAAAGACATATGGCTGATTAAAAATTCTAACTTTGTACTACATTAGTTTCTTAATATGAAGATTTAATATATGAAGAAATTAGAGCACACAATAGAGGTGGGAGTTAAGTGGAACTACACAGTTGTCAGGGACTTATATGAAATAGTACAACCTAGCACCCACTCATGATATTTACAACAAAGAGAAAAGAAATCCCAGGAGACTTAAATTAAGAATAAACTTTGTTAGCCCAAATTTACAGTAAACAAAACAGCTTCTGGTAAAGTGTTGGAAGCATTATCTTTAAAGTTTTTAATAAAAGGATAAAAATTGTATTTTATCACTTCTTCCTGTCAACAATGTACTAGAAATCCTACCCAGAAGAGTAAAACAAGAAAATGAAACAAAAGATTTAAGAATTGAAAAGAAAAAGAAAAAAAGAAAATGGTAGAAAAATCCAAAACAATAAAGACAATGAGAACTAATGAGAACTTTTAGCAAGGTTGCTGGATACAAGTTCAACATGCAAAATTCGATAAATTCTTATCACCAATAACTAGAAAATTGCTTTAAAAGATCTTTAAAAATTAAAAAGAATAGCATGCCCAAATATGGATGGTTTATCAAAGAAATAAATTCTCTCAATATTAATCTATATACTTAATACAGTTCCAATCAAAATCTCAATATAATTTTTTTTTTAATTTATTTATTTGACAGAGAGCGCACAAGCAGGCAGAGCAGCGATAGAGGGAGGGGGAGAAACAGGCTTCCCGCTGAGTAAGGAGCCCGATGCGGGGATCGATCCCAGGGCCCCGGGATCATGACCTGAGCCGAAAGCAGTTGCTTAACAAACTGAGCCACCCAGGTACCCCCCTCAATATAATTTTTTTTTAATAGAACTTTAAAAGCAAGCTAAAATCACATGGAAGAACAAAGCCATGAAAGCCAATAAAATCTTGAACAGGGTGAAAGAACTCTGTCTACCACATATCATGCTACAATAATTAAGTCAGTATGATACATGGGCAGAGACAGATTAAAGAACCAATAAAACAGAATGGAGAGTCCAGAATCGGACCACATGAATATGCAAACTTGATATACAACAGAGGTGGCACTACAAATCAGTGTGAAAAAGACGGGCTGTTTAATAAATGGTTCGTCCACATGTAAAAATGAAATAAAACTCCTACCTCACACCATACAAAAGAACAATTCCAGGTGAATTAAAGATTTAAGGATATATGTTCTAAAACTTTAAAATAAAATAGAGGCAAATATCTTCGTATCTTTCGGTAAGGAAGAATTTCTTAATACTCAAAAAGCACAAACCATAAAAGGAAAAAGTAATTTCCACTACATGAAAATTAATTTTTTTAAAAAGATTTTATTAATTTAGTTGACACAGAGAGAGAGAGCACAAGTAGGGGGAGCGGCAGAGGGAGAAGCAAGCTCCCCGCTGAGCAGGGAGCCCAATGCGGGGCTCCATCCCAGGGCCCCTGGGATCATGACCTGAGCCACTCAGGTGTCCCGAAAATTAATTTTTTAAATATAACCAAAGATGTCATCATGGACAGTCAAATGATAAACCAACATCTAGGGGAAAATATTCAAGAAAAGATTAGTATCAGAATGTATTAAAAACTTTTCCAACTCAACACTCAAGTGAAAAATGGCATGGTAATGGACAAATCAGAGGCAAGGAAACGTATATAGCCAATGAATATATGAAAATACGCTCAACTTCAGTAGTAGGCAGGAAAATGAATTTGACCTCATCAAACTGGCAAAACACAAGTGTTAGGAATAAAGAAATGTGACACTCATACAATGTTGTTCCAAGTGTAATAATTTGGCACAGCCACTTTGGAGAGCAATCCAGCAATATCTAGAATAGCTGAAGAAAACACTACCCCATTATTCAGTAATTCCACTTCAGGTACGTACCCTGGAGAAACTCTCACACATGTGTATCAGGAGACATGTACAAAGACGACAGCATTGTTTATAATGGGGGAAAAAAAAGGTAACAACCTAGATGTATAGCAAGAGGAAAATGGAAAAATAAACCATGTAACAGAATAATATACAGGCAGTTAAAATTAAACTAGAACTACGTGCATCAATATGGGTAAACGCTGCTGAATGTAAAAAAGCAATATATGCAGGATATGTGTAGTATGTTCCATTTAATACAGTTTTAAAGCATATTAAAATAAGACATTATTCAGAGACACAAACATATATTGTAAAGACAGAATAATGTGCAGGAATATAATATACCAAATTCACATTATGGATATTTCTGAGAAGGGAGGGAAGGGATTCAGTAACTGGAACTTTTTTTATATAAAAGATCTAAACTGTGGCAGACTGCTACAATTTAGTTTCTCACCAAATTCCTATTTTCCTCTTTGGTCTCACAAATCAAACTGCTCTATTTCTAAGAGTGGCAATTTACACATCTTGGCCTGCACAGCAGATTAAGGTAGCCAATAAGATAAATCAGAAATCACTGGGTTGGGCCATGGGAAAGATACTGAAAGGGTAAGGACTTCACGGGGACATGCGCCCTTTGCCCTTACTCCTTCCTTTATCCTCCTGCCTGGGATAAGAACATGAGGCATGGAGCTGCAAGGACCTTCTCAGCAACCATGAGATGACCTTGAGATAGAGAGCCACAAGCTAAGCACTGCAAAGCAGAAAGATAGAAGATGTCCAGTCTTGATGACCACACAGCTGCCATGTCCCGAGAGGAAAAAAGTCCTCTTTAAAGCACCTTTTCGGGGGGTGGGGGAAGAAGAGGTGTAGAGATTTTTTAAATGCAGCCAAACCTAACGCTAACTGACACAGAAGAAAATAGGTGGAAAAATGTTAACACAAGACCTAGGAAAAAGGCAGATTCTGCTACTGTACTTTTCTATGTTTTTAATTTTTGATTAAAAAAAATCTTTCACTTCCCAGATTTGAAACAGAGATTCTCAAATGTTAACCACAGACAACTGCTGGCCCACAGATCAAGAAAAAATACAAAGGCAACACATATAGTTTATGAGGTGGCCAACCAGAGTGGATAAAGAATTCACTAGAACAGGCCAACCACGCTTGGACAGCGCAGACAGCTACTACAGTACTGCCACCAGCGCAGCTACGGCCCCGTCTGGATGACAAACAATCCCACAGCCTCCTGGCTCCGAGCTGCGGATGAGAAAAACCAAAAACAATTTGCAGACTAAATGGAAATCTCTGTTGTCATTCCCTTTCCCTATTTTTCCTTCTCCATGCATTCCCCAGAGCTCAGGGCCATAGTTTTCTGTCTCCACAACTGGATCATCTGGGCAAAAATATCAAAATAGTACCCTCAGATGAAATGTAGTTGTCTTTTACGATTGTAAACAGGAAGGTTCTTTTGAGAACTACTTCACCTAAAACACTATCTGATGTTACTTGGATATTAACTCAAGTCACCTTCTGGGATCTAAAAGGTTTTAAAATTTGCTCAACAGACCAGATGAAAACACAAGTTTGAAATGAAGGTAGGTTTTAGATTTGGGCCCAAGATAACGGTCTGAAATAGTTACCATGTGAAAAAGAACAAAAGAAACAACAAAAACTTGTTCACTTACTGGCCTGTTACAGAAAGATAATGATCTCGTCAGTCATGATTTATCACAGATACCACGCAGTGCAAAACATACTCTTCATCTTTCTTTCGGTAGTCAGCAATATGGTGGTACATTCGTTTTTGTGCATTTTTTTTCCTAATTTGATTTCTCACTTATTTTGTTTCTCCCTAATGCCACTTAATTTCGTTTCTTAGTTTATAACGTTAGTGGTTGTTCTGCATTCTCTCCTGCTGAATTTACTCACTTTCTGGCTCCTTGCCTTTTCTTTCTGTGAATAGCTATTCTCTGCTTCACTCCCTCAATTTGGTTTTCCCCTAGTCTCAGATGGCTTCTGCACTGATACTGAGATCCACACTAGGCCCCATCACCCCAAGAGCCTTTTCCTGGAATTTTTTTTAAAAAGCCCTTTGGAGGTTTGCTTCCTGATCTCAGAACCAAAACAAAACAAAACAAAAAAACAAAAAACCACTGTGATCGGGATGTTTACATTTAAGAATGTAATAGAAAGCTAACAGGAAAATTATTGAAAAAAAAAAATCCCTGAAAGAATCCTGCTATAGTCACATCAATAACTCAAAACATTTCTTCTGCATTTTTTTTCAATTCCACTGAATTCTCAAAATTGTATTCTGCTAAACCTCTGAATACTTGGGTTCTCTCTCCTTCCTACTTACACTAAACAGTTGCACATGTTTTTCTTTATTACTAATAAAAATGTAACTAAAAGATAATTTTTTCTGCAGATGACCTTTTTCCACTTCAGATTTAGAGAATTTAAGAATTGGGTTCACACACGAGCAGATTTTTTTCAAACACACATACTACGTTACAACCTGGATTTAGCTTCCCTCTTAACACTATAAATTCAAGAGGAATAACTAAAACAGCTAAGATACATTTAAACATTATCAAAGAGCATATACTTTTTAATGAATATAAAATAATTTTACAGCTTTAATGAGAAGTACTAACAGCACTGCGGAGAACAGTTAAATTTAACTATAACTCAGTTTTGCATTTTGCTGTGCTGTTAAGTGTAGTACTGCCTTATATACACGAAGTGTCTGATTACCAAAAAAGAACAGCAAAGCAGTCTTAAAGGAGAAGATGAAAGCTTTACCTGATACAGTAAAGTTTATGGTTTTATGATAAAAAAACTTATCTCGAGGGAGAGTTATTTTAAAAGGAGCAAAGGAGAAAGGGAGAGAAATAATAAAAACTAGGTATTGTTCTATTTCTCCATAGAAGAGTTGTTTTTGTTTCATAGAAACTAAATGTAATGTGTGGATTTGACTTTTGAATCTATAAACCAACTCGGACATTTTAGGGACCATTGGGGGAAATCTGACTACACACTGGGTATTAGATGATACTGAGGAATTATTGTTAATTTTATCGGGAATAACAACAGCATTATGGATAGATTTGAAAAAAATGTCCTCATTTTTGAAAGATCCACATAAAGAATGTTAGAGGTAAAATGACATGATGTCTTGTATTACTTTAAAATACTTGGGGCTTGGGGGTCAGAGGTGGAGGGGATTGAGAGGTGAAGCATGTGTGGCACATCTTACCCTCTGCTGAATATCGAAGATGGAAACAGGTTTAAGGGGGTTCGTTTTACTATTTCTTCTACTTTTATATATGTTAGAATCTTTTGAAATACAAAGAAATAACTTTTAAGTTTGTTCCAGATAACTAAAAGCTAAGTTAGGATTATGAATGGATTTAACATCCTACTCTGGCAGGCCAAATATTGCAAACATTAGTGTTTTGTGATTCACTTAACTTCAATTTAATAACACCACTTACTATATGCCAAGCATTTCACCAGACCCGGGAAAGCAGAGTTAGACAGTGTCCCCGTCCTTAGGGACACGACAGTCACCATGAATACCCGTGACAAAGGATTCCAGGTGGCCTGGAGGGCATGGAGAACAGAAGCCACAGACAGAAGACCAAGAGGAAAAATGTCAGACCGCTTGCAATGTCCCATACACATTACACCCAGGTATCACTGCTGCCCAAATGGGAGAGGAACCACTCATGAAGTTCTGTTTGTCTTCACACAAGACTCCACCCCAAGCATAAATGAATCCGAGTCTGTGGGTATAGGGTTCCTCTACAAATTACTGTGTATGAGCAAATTTTAGCCTAACAACAAACCTTTCAAGTGGGTTTTATATTCATGTTTCAGCTGAGGAAGCTGAAGAGTCATAGGTTCTAGGAGTCAGCAGAACATGCACATTTGGAGAACCAAAAGGTCTAAGAGGTCAGAGAAGAATCTGGAGAGTGGCACAATAAAACCAAAAAAGAACCAAGTTCTCAGAAAGGCGTTCTCCAGAAGGCTAACTGCTACAGAGGAAAGTTAAGTGACACTGGAGGCTGTATTTGTCAATATTTAGCAAGCTTCAGTGAGCTGGGTGATTTAAACATGACACTAAAAAACATAAGAGGGGGGCGCCTGGGTGGCTCAGTTGGTTAAGCGACTGCCTTCGGCTCAGGTCATGATCCTGGAGTTCCGGGATCGAGTCCCACATCGGGCTCCCTGCTCAGCAGGGAGTCTGCTTCTCCCTCTGACCCTCTTCCCTCTCGTGCTCTCTCTCAAATAAATAAATAAAATCTTAAAAAA